TGATTGGATTTATATGTTTTTTTGAATTTCATATCTTGATTAAAATATTCATGAACCTGGATATCCAACCCGCTATGTGAGCCGACTAATCTCAGAACGACTACTTATTTTATAGATAGTCCAAAGTCACCACATTTGAACATCCATGTAAAAAAAGCGAATGAATCCAACTTAGAAGGAAGGTATGAAGTGGTAGGCACATACACATATCCTACACATGCTCATGTCAAAAGATGTTGCAATTTAAGATATGAAATGACATCCCAAAAACTTTTGGGTTTAATTATACTTGTTTACCCTTTATTCATTTATATATGTTTTAATTTCTAGTCAAATTATGCATGTTTTAATCCACTTAGAACCATGTTATGTTATTTTAGAGGTCGTTTACTAAACGCACATCCGGGTAAGCGCTTACTAAGTCACATTACTTTAGCGGATGAATATATAATAAAGACCAAAAATCTTATTCGTTAAGAACGAGACAAGAACCAAGAGTCTTACCCGGTATGTGAGACCGACGACTCTTATCACGGTAAGCGCTTATTGGGTAAATTGTTGTATATGATGTCGTTTTGCTGGACTAAAATCTCAATCGGTAAGTAAATGATAGTGTTAAATTTAATTGGTAAACGCTTACCGGGTAAGTGTATGGTAAACAGCTCCTTAGAGTCTCTCTTTTATCCGATTTGATAATTTCCGATTCTGACGTCTGAAGTAAGCTAGAAAAATGATTATATGGGACAAAGTATGATAAAGAATGAATTTTTTTGTCCTGCCAAAATATGTGATTTTTTTTAATAAATTACTAAACTATAATATCAGATTAAAGTCTAAAAATTTGCACAATTTTTCATTAACCTACCTCTTTATCCCAGTACATTCATGTTCAATCTTGACATGCGTTTGAAATATATTTCTTAAAATAATTTTCATATAGTATACCTTTAAATATACATTTAAAAATAATAATAATAATAATAAGTCATGTTTAATCAATTAAGTTAACGGTCAGATTATCATTTATTAATTTAATTATCATTTATTAATTTAATCATGGATAAAATCAACTTACAGCTCAAACTGAGTTACATTTGACAAATTCAATTATAATAAAAAAAATTAACGATTATTTTAAAAGAATAAAATATTATGTTTAGTTAAATGGTTACTTTAATTTATTAAAAAAAACCTCCATGATATTTTTAATTGAACAATTATTACATTTCATTTTCAAAAATCAACAACAAATAAAATACATGACCAACTTTTTTGGACACACAAGTTAAATATATAAAGAAAACAATGAAGTTGTGTTTAGTGTGTAAATATATTAATACGTAATATATGAATATAATAATATTAAAAATGCAATTTTTTTATTTGAATAATATAATAAAAAATATGCAACATGCATACAAGACACTGATGTGGATTAAGAATTTAATGAAAATGTGTATGGGTTGTTAGAGTTTCTGGGTTTTTCGTGGTTACGATCACTCGAATAGATTTTTAGATCGTGTATAGAGAAGCATTTTCTGTAAAATCTGTATTAGGGTCATTCAAAAACTCACTCTTGTTTTAATGCAATAACAATCGAGTATTTTTCGTGAGATTGCTTTCTGTTATGTCTATATATATATATATGTGTGTGTGTGGATAAAGAAATTATTTTTTATAGGTAGTTGATATAGCAGTTAAGAGAGGTAACATGTGGTTATATAAGTGATTACAACTGCAAGTGTTCATTAGGGGTGTTTAAGAAATCGTTGGACCATTCGAACTAGTCGTACAAAGTTTATCCAGACCGTTTGAACGGTTTCACGGTCCGGTCTAGTATGAAAAATAGTCAAACTGTTCGGTATGATATGGTATGCGGTTTGAATATTTTTTTTGAACGGTTTGGGCCGAACCGACCACAAAAAGTACACGTGTGCTAATTATAATTCGTTTTCATCTTGCAGGGTTAACTTTGTCCAATTAAAAAAACTCGTCTCAGACATTAATTCCAAAATCTGTCTAAAATTGACAAAATCCTGAAATATGTCTAAAATTAAATGCAAAATTCTAAATCATTCTTTAACTTGTTCAATATTTGTCCAAAATTCCAACTATTGTTGGTGCGCTCGTTTAACTTTTTCTTAATTTGCTCAATATCTTTTTTTAATTTTAGATACAAACGTTTCTTTTATAATTATGTATTCTATTTTTGTAATAACGTTATATTTGTTGAAATTTCATTTTAGATATATATATATATATATATATATATATATATATATATATATATATATATATAT